TCCTAACATGAAATGAGATGTACTTGTAATCATAAGCTTCTGAATTCACTCCAGGATTTGAACACCAAGATCAAGGCTGAGACTCCAATTGCAGCACATGGACACTTTCCGAGGTTTTGTCTTTCAGAGGGGATGTTAAGTGAAGCCACTACCTGCCTCATCAAGTGGATATAAAAAAATCCCATGTCACTAATTTGAAAAAGAACAAGGGAACAGTCATTGGTGCCTAGTTATCACTCAAAGACATTAAACATCGCTAAAATGAGACAGGATGTCATAACTTTTCAACTTGCACTTATCAGGACTGAAACACAAGATAAAGAAAACACCAGGAATCTACAGTGCATACAGCATGAAAAGAAGGTATTGATTGTTATGACTAGACTGGCATGCAGATCCTGCTGGAAATATTAAATATCTTAATTAATGGACCAAATTCAAACCAGACAGGTTGATTCTAATTGGTCATGGCAGTGCCATAGAATTAAGCAGGAATTGGCTTGTTTCTATAACTATTTGGAATATGGACATATTCCTTTTGCCAAAGAACAGGGCCTTGTGTCTAAATAACTGTGGCTTCTAATATGCATAAGTGAAAAGCAATGTAAGCCTGATTGACAACCTTAAATTGATTTCTGCTGTAATTCTTAGCACACTCAGGATTGTTTAGTAAATGTTGTCCAATAGGTGAATTACATCTTATGAAGGACACTATGGTCCTGATTTTCATCCCAGGGTCAAGAATGAGGTGAAATCTCAACAATTGAAATGGCTTAACACCCTTCAGATCATCATTCCAAGTGTTTGGGCTCATTTGGCAGTCAGGCCAACAGACTCAGAGGAGCTTAAAAGGCTGCTTAGTTCCTGATGTAGACTGGATGAAAGCACTGTAAGCAAAGCTTAAATTAAATATTTAAATAGAAAATATATGCCTTCTCTCACCAACTAATTCTCTATGCCCCATTCATGCCAACATATGTTTCTGCAGCTACCTCATGGTCCCTCATACCCCTGTGCCACCCAATGGCCATTTAACCTTCACCCATGGCTGCTATTATCACATAAGCTCCAATCATCTTATGGCCCTTTATGGGTCCATGTCAACTGAGCTGCCACCCACCACCTTCTGGTTTTTCCCTCACCATCCCAACATATCTATTATCGACTATGTGCATTAATGAGGAGGCATCAGGACAGAAAATAAAGTTACCACTGCATTAGCTATGCCACTATTGAAAATAGCATGCTTTAATTGATACAAACATCCAATATAGTGAAATAGCAATAATAAGTTCCTTATAAAAACAAATATTTCACTTAGGTTTTCCAATACTTTTTTGAAACAAATGTTTTGCTTGTGGTCAATATCTTGCGGCCAATATCTTGAGGCAATTAATGTCTACCTTAAATATTTTTTAAAAACTTTCAGTCAATAAACATTTACATTCAATAAGCTAGTGGAGCTATTCCTCAAAGACACATTACTAAGAAAATTATAGCTTGGGGAATCAGCCATGCAGCATAAGTCTTACAATGGTTTTATATAGCCAAGCATTCTCAACTACCTTAGCAGTGTTTATTTTTAACCCCTATTTTTTTTGGACAAATTTGCAAATCCTAAGGAGTTTTCCCTCTTTTTTGTGCACAAGGCTACTTTTCACAATCCTAAACGGTATCTTACCTCTCAACAAGGATACAAAGGTGTCTCAGGTTCATATCCAAAGGGATACCTTACCACTCCAAAAGTGACAAATAAAATAAAATTCCAGCAGAATTCACCAATTATACCCCCTTTACCTCATTCCTTCACGGTCACTGGGTCAAAATCCTGGAATTCCCTCCCCAGTGCCATTGTGGATCAACCCGTAGCAGGCGAAATGCAGCAGTTCAAGAAGGCAGCTCACCACCTCCTTCTGAAGGGCAGCTAGGGACAGGCAATAAATGCTGGCCACCCAGCGATGCCCACATCCCACAAATGAATAAAAAAAAACACCTATGCCAACTCATGCGGCCTAATACCCTCTGCCCATTCCCCCATATGACACCCCCTTACTACTATGCCAATTTACAGCCTACATCTACCCACTGTCTCTTCTCTCTTCACCTACCAACAGCCAATCATTGATTAGACTGAATGAGAAAAGCTTTAACAGCACTGAAAAGCTCAGTGCCATTCCAGACAAGGCACTTGATTGGCACCCATCCACCACCTTTAACATTCACTCCCTCCACCATTGATGTACAGTACCAACAGTGCACATCTATATCATGCTCTACAACAACTCACCCCAAGACTACACGGAGCACCTTCTGCATCAGTGAGCCGTATACTATGAAGGGCAAAGACAGAAGATACTTGAGAGCACTAGCTTTGCATATTCCCCTCTACATCACGCACCATTCTGACTTGGAGATGTATCACTGTTTGTGCACAGTTGCAAATCCTAGAAGTCCCTCCCTAACAGCTCTATGGGTGCCCTTACACCCTCAGGACTGCAGTAGTTCAAGAAGACGGATTACTGTTAGCTTCTCATAGGCAATTAGGTGTGGGCAATCAATGCTGACCCAACCACAATGTCTATATCTCAAGAATGATTAAAAAAAAAATCCACATGTACGCATGCACATGGGAGAAAAGAAAATCTGGGTCTGTTACTTAAATTCCCATATTGCAAACTATGCTCTGAGAAAAACACTGTCATTCCTGTTTTTTTCCAGAGAGACATGATGGGCTGAATGGCCTGTTTCTCTGCCATAATTTTTATACGATTTCCAAACAAGTGGGCTGCTTTGTCCTAGCTGCTAAACATCTTGAGTGTTATTGGAAGTGCACCATCCAGACAAGTAGACGGCTTTCCATCATACACCTGACCTATGCCTTGGAAGTGGAGAACAGGTTTTGAGAATCAACTTCACCCTGACTGGTGCTACATTAATGCAAAAGAAATGTTGATGCTATTCTGTGGTCATACTGCAATGCTCCTAGCTGCCAATGTTTCAGAAAATCAGGTACAAGACTTCAGAAAGTCATGAAACAAATTGTGGCACAGCTTAAAGCTAAGTATCTTTCCACATCCCAAGATATTTTCAAAAAAAGTCATTCTTGAGATGTGAGTGTCATTAACTTGGGCCAGCATTTATTGTGCAGGCCTAATTGCCCTTGAGAAGATGGTGGTGAGCCACCTTCTTGAATGACTGCCATGTGGTGTAGGTATACCCACCGTACTGTTAGAAAAGAGGATCCAGAATTTTAATACATAACAGTGAAGGAACCACAATATTGTTCCAAGTCCGGACGACATGTAACTTGGAAGGGAATTTGCAGACTTTGGTGTTCCTATGTATCTACTCCCACTTGTCACTCCAGATAATAGGGGTCATGGATTTGGAAGGTGCTTTTGAAGGAACTCTGGTGAGCTGCTGTAGTGCATCTTATATGTGTTCCAACACTCTGGTGAAGGGAACAGATGTTTCTGGTGGTGAATGGGGTACTGATCAAGTAGGTTGCTTTGTCTTGATGGTGTCAAGCTTCTTGAGAGTTGATGGGGCTGCAAATAGAAAGTGTTCCATTACCTTCCTGACACATGGCCTTGTAGAAAATGGTCAGGCTTTGAGAGAAGTAAGGAGGTGAGTTGATGGCTGCAGAATTCCTGGTCTCTGACGTGTTCTGGTAATCACAGTATTTGTGTGGCTAGTCTAGTTCAGTTTTTGGCCAATGTTGATGGTGGGGCATTGAGTGATACTATTGTCATTGAATATCAAGGCAGATAGTTAGATTCTCAGATGGTTTGATTTTGAAGAGTTCTGAATAGTACTGGACACTTTACAATCATCAATCATCAGGGGACATCCCAACTTTCAACTTGATTTCAGAAATAGATCACATAATGAAATATCAAACATACGACTTATTATGTTGGAGACTTTAACTTAATGTAGTAAGGAATTATGAGTCAGGCATTTGTAGGTTCAAATTCCAGCCCAGAACATGAGCATAATAATCAAGTTTGACAGCACAGTGCTGCACTGTTGGCAATGCTACCTTTCAGATAAACAACTGAACCAAGTCTTGGTCTGCCATCTTGGATAGACTTGAAAGATCTCAGAGCACTACTTCAAAACAGAGCAGGGCAATTGTCCCCGGTGTGTTAGCCAATATTTATCCCTTAACTGGCATCACAAAACCAAATTATTTGATCCTGTCATATTTTTTATGGGAGTTTGTGGTGTGGAAATTGGCTGCTGTTTTTCCCTGTGCTACAATAGGAATGACACTTCAAAAGGATTTCATTAGCTGTAAAATGCATTGTGATATCTTGTAGGTGCTATATAAATGCAAGTTTTTCTTTTGCTTTATGGTTTAATCATGGCCTTAGATCAATGCGGAGTTAATGCTTTGTGCAATTTATAAGGCAACATCACATTTTAATTGGATTAAAGCTTTGTTACTACTCCACTCTTTCCTTATTTTCATGTTTATCTGCTTCCATATATATCTTCCATACTGAATATTGCAAACTCATCACTGGCAATTAATGTATTAAAGATGTCCATTTACAAAATACCGCAATGTTTCTTGGTGAATTATATGTAATTAACACTGAGCAAGGACAAGTCATTGTTGGATCATTATGTACTGGCAAATGTATTGATATCAGCAACCTTCATTTATTTTAAGGTAGAAGAACATCTAAAATGATAGAATTAGTGTACATTAGCATCAGAGTGACAGTTATGGAACAGACTTTACATCGGCTGTATATGGGAAAGAAAAGAATGAAAAATTACTATGCTTATTTAGTTTGATATTTAATTAACAGTCCTTATCGTACTATTTATCAGAGATCAAAATTATTTTATTTGAGTGCACTTAATGATATCAGTTGATACCACAGAGATATGAGATGTCAGATATTGTATATGATTTGCAGCATTCAGTAATAATCCTGTAGGTGGAATTCTAAATGCACCTCTACTTTTGTGCTTTGCTGTCTCCACAGGCGATTTCATTCCTCACACCCCTAGCAGTGATCTTTGTTGTCAAAATAATTCGAAGGACAGACAAAACAGAGATTAAAGAGGCCTGTTTAGGTAAAGTATTCACTCGGTGTATATTGCCCCTTTTTTTTTCAAATTCACGTCTGTATTTTTATATTATTCCCTCTGCTTTTAGTTTAAATGCATCTTATAATGCCTGTTTTTCTTTTTCAATACTTAGCTGTTTCTCTGGCCCTTGCTCTGAATGGAATCTTTACCAATACGATTAAGTTAATAGTGGGAAGGTAAGTTGTGATTAGTACAGTACAGCATGTTAAAATTAGTAATCCTGTGAATTCCCATCAAATTATATGGCATTGAGTTTGGGAAAAACCATGACCCTGGTTGGACAAATAAACATGGAGCAAGATTTTATTTGAGTAATTAAGGAATTTACCTTGCATCTTTCTTTGAAAGATTTAATATGTAGAGCCTGTGTTATCATGGATTGCATTGTGTGGCAGACAAAGGGAACAAAACTGATAGGAATCTGTTGTGTTTTCAACAACTAAGGGTTTAACATCACATAAGAAGACTTAAGGCTCAGACTGTGTGTAAAATAACCATGATAATGGAAGATTAAGATAGTCAAAATCACAATATTCTGATAAAGGAGTTATGTTTTTGGATATGATGTTAATGGATGTGAGCATGCCACAGAAATTCACAAAATACAGAATGTAATAGGTAATAGATGCCGACCCGGAGTTGGTAAGACAGGGGTGAGATTGGTTGTTAGGAAGGGCTATACTAATATGACCACTATTCATACACAGACAACTCCTCTTGAGAAGAAAATGGCACTACACCAGAATTGAAAACATCAATTAATTTCATATTCTATAGTTTTCAGCATCGAGAATGCAACTTCCCCTCTTGAAGGTACATAACAAGAGCCATTTCAGACTTAATTCAGATGTAGCAAAGCCAGATTTTTAACATTCAAGTCTTTCTTCACACAGCGACATGCTTCTGCTTGAAAGCAATTGGAATTGTGCTGGGCAATGCATTTGTGTTAAATTTCTGTACAGTAGAAATTGGAAAAATGTTACTGGCTTCTAGTTAACTGCTTTCTGTCTACATTGCCCTTGACTAGAGTTGTCTGGTATTATGGATAACCTTGAAATTCACATTGGCATCTTGCATTGTGAAAATTGACCAACCAGGAGCAGTAATTTCATGAGCTTCTGAGCTTGTTGAGTGCTGTGCTTGGAATTTGTGCCTAGCTTGGCACCAGTTGGTGTGTTTTGATTGAGGGCTGCTCATTGTAAAGCTGAGCACTGTATATGAAGAGAATTTGCAACATTTCTGGCTTCATACCATACATTTGCTGTGTGCTTAACTCGACCACTTCCAGTGAAATACAAATAGAAAATGTTGAAGAAACTCAGCAGGTCTGGCAGGATCTTTGAAGAGAGAAACAGAATTAACATCTTGAGTTCCAATATAGTTGAATATATGTTGAGAGTTGACAAGGTTCTCATGCATTTGGAAGTGAAACTTGACAGTAACTGCGTCAGTTTATTTTTGCTAAGCCCAAGGGGTCTGTGTTTAATGATCCCTCTCTTGTGATTTAATGGCGGAAGACAAAAAAAGGAGCCAATGAGATGACACCAGAAGTAAACCAATCTCAGCGGCCTGTTGTACCTGTGGGCCCAGCAACAATGACCAAGCAAACCCTTGGCAATACAGTTGAAAGCAAACTGAACCCTTTCTTTAGCCAGGAGGTTGTTGCACTTCCTTTGTCACTATCCCGTGGTCACCTTTACCCTTACAATGTTATTTCTTCTGTTGCTTCCTCCAGTTCATTATCAACCTCTTCTGGGTTACGTCCCACTGCATTGCTGCTTGTGAAATTTGGTAAGAATCACCCAGTGCATTGTGGGGTGCAGAATTTCTGTGGATCACTGACAATGACTGGCAGGCTGTTGTACCCAGCCTAAGGGGAAATAAAATGTAAGCATGTGCATTGATGCTGCCCTACAAGAGACACTTGAAGGAGGCACAGCAAGTATGGCAGCACCTTGTGGAAGTGATGGACCTCTCACCTGCCAGTTGGATAACCACTATGAAACCTACATTACCATCTTTGGGGAAAGCCCACTGAATCATAATCCAGTCAGGCAGTGGGGAAGCCAGCAGAAGGGTCTTTACTGGGATCAGAACCCCAGAGGAGGAGGTTCTGCCTATCTAGAGCGGCTGGCCAATCCGAAGGTGGGAGGTTGGAAGTGCCACAGGGAACATGGTGGCAGCTGCACAGAAGATCCCAACTGGAGGCCAAGAATGACAGAATAACCCAACCCCAGATAAATAATGGCTGGAGGAGTTTTGTATATCTGGTTAGGGAGCATGGGGAGTGCAGCAATGGCTGAGAACGGTTCTCACCAAGGTCCCCTGTGTCTTTGATCAGACATTCTCTGCAGCCATCTGAACTGGAGCCTGATTGAGAACATTGGCTGCCTGATTTTTGTCAGTTTCACAATATTCACTTATGAGCTTCAGTCATTTCAAGCATGTTGCAATTTCAGGTAATGAAACTTTATAGGGACTGGATGAGCTGCAGTGAACAGAGTTTTTTAAACATTGTGGTCAAAGCATGTGAAAAGCTATGAATAAATCACTTCTATAAAGCATTCTTTGTGCATTCAACTATCACTATAAGGTTCAGTGGTTCAAGAAAGTGTATAGTTGTGTAATGGGCATGGGAGTGCCATTCATTGACATGATTGGTGATGGGAGGTGTTTGGTGGGGCCATGAGGTCGGCCAGTTTGGATGATTGGAGGTGTGTGAGGGGTGAGAGCTGTAGGACGTTTCTGTTTCACTCTACGTTGGGGATAATCACAAAGCATCGAGGCAGGGTGTTTAAACAGCTGGCCTCCGCAGTTGATAAGCCCTGTGGCTACCTCCGCACTTTCTTCGAGGTCGTCTGGCCCAACCATAGCTGTTATTCATCCCCCATCAATGAAGATCCCACCTTTCTATCCAATGTTTCCCATGGTGGTCATTTTCTCACCTTGGGACTAATTAAGGGCCTCAATCAGTGCCAGGCAGGATGTTCTACCACAGGCCTTCCCACCCCGGGTGGAAGGGTGCGTACTTGCTCTCCTTCCTGGATCCCAATGCACCACTGCAAAGACCAGAAGATTCTGCCATCACATGTGATATTTTTGACGTTCAATACACACTGATTGTCCAATTAAAAACTCTGGCCCCAAAAACAGAATCCAGCTGACTGTTGTCCTGAGCTTTGCATGGGCCTCTGATCTTGCCCTCTTTGAAGGTATCAGCTACCTCAGAACTGATATTTGTGGGGCACCCGATTTTGAATATCAGGGGTTGAAGCTGTGCTGTTGGGATTTGAGCAGATGGTCTCAGATTTAATGCAGTATCGAGGAAGGACTGCGCGCCTTTCAGATAAAATTTCAAACAAACGCCCAGCCTGTGCTGTCAAGTGGGCAGGATAAAAGATCACTTGGAATTATTTTGAGGAAAAGCAGGGGAGCTTTCCCACTGTATTGGTGGATGTTTAGCCTCAACTGGCATCACTTTAAAAAAAAAAGCCTCATCATTTTAACATTGCTGCTTGTGGGAGCTTGCTGTGTGAAAATTGACAGCGGCTTTCCTACATGGCTTCGTTGGCTATAAAGACACTTGGGACAACATGGAAAGTGTTATATAAACACAAACCTGCTTCTTTTCTTTGCTTGCATTCCCATTCTTTATACTAAGTCTTCAAGTAATGAAAGGTTTAACTTACTGGCCTAACTAAGAGTTTGCAAGAATTTTTGTAATCCTTGCAAGTGGACATCAGTAGGGCAGATAATCCTACAACTTGAAACAATATTGATCTGGTTGAGGCACACTTTATTGCTACTGGGCTATAGTGGCATTTTATACAGCCACTTAAAGCCGAGAATCTAATAATGGCTTCACATAATCTGACACATTTTTATTGCCTTGAGAAGCTGAAGATCAAAAAGTGTAATGTTGGATTTTCATTTCAATGGCATTACATGCAAGTCACAGTGTAATCCATTTCAGTGTTTATATCTCTGTGTTAGAATAGTGTAGTAAATGAAAGTTTTATCAAATACTTTTTCAAACCTTTAAGTATCCAATAACTTTACTTGCCACAATATTAGTTTGACAATATTGTTTCCCTCCTAAAAGTGACAGGAAATGTCAACCAATCTGCAGCACTCACAATTTGAATTCACCCAATAATGAGGTTGGAACAAATGAAAAGTCAAATGATAGAAGAAGGAGGATCATTTATGTGAATTGACTTGGTCCTAGACTGTAGTTATAATTTAAGTAGATTTAATCAAAATGAGAAATTGAACATCATTGAAAGAAAATGAATTTGTCCACTTGGAAACAATGTTTTCTGGGGACCATACTGAGGGTGAAAAGAGAATTTTGCCCATGAAACTGTGGAGGAAGGGATTCCCGGACACCCTCTCAAAGTAAACAGCCACACACCTTGTCAAATTTTCACCAGGCTTGCCCCTGGCAGCCTGTCTGATTAACAGGTTAGTGGAGTGTTGCGTGCAAAAGCAGCTGAATGGATGGCAGCTGAACAGGATATCATGGGTGTGACAAGGTCAGAGATGAGTTGGAAATTGCCAGAAGGTGGGAGGGCAATGGAAAGCGACTTGGAGATTGCAAGTTCTGTAAAGAAACCAGCTTGTGTGGCCAAGCGTAATGCTCCTGGACCACTTGGCAGGGGGAGCGTAAATGCACAAAGTGGGTGGTTAGTGATCAGGCCCTCCTTGCCCCCCTTTATCTATAGGGTTCCCAACTGCAGAATACAGAACCACCGCTGGTTAAAAATGTTTAAAAATCCGGAGAAATAGGTGGCACAAAACCTTTTCCTGACTGACCACTTTAGTTCAAACCACCTCCATGTGGTTTTGAGTCTGATGTGAAGTTTAAAAATGTATTACTTCCCATCTGTCCCAAACCTGCCTGTCCTTGGGGGTAAGAATTGCCCCCTATATACTGAGGGGTCATATGCAATTTAAGTTTTAAAAATTGAACTGCTGATTGCAATCTATTACATGGAGTGCAACAGCTGGAAGAAATGCAAAGAAGCCTCTTAGCAGCTGGTATATTATATCAAGATATGTTCTGGTTGAATGTGTAGTTAATAAGGTATGCCCACATTACACTGAATGTGCAAGAGTCCTCTGTTTCCATTTATTAGTCTTGTCAGCTAGAATAAAGAATGATTTATGCAAATTA